ACACACACACACACACGTATACATATATACATTAAAAAAACAATTTTTTTAGCTGTTGATGAACCTTTATTTTATTTATTTATATGTGGTGCTGAGAATCAAACCCAGTGCCTCACTCATGCTAGACAAGGGCTCTACCACTGAGCTACAACCCCAGCCCAGTATACATATACTTTTTAACATCACTGCTGCTCTCCCACCATGGACTGAATTTAGTCAATAACTGTTGCCTTTTGTCCCCTCCCGCTGGCATTCTGAATGGTACCATTCACATGTCAAATGGTTGGACTACCCTAAACTCGACCACTGTTCAGCATCTCCCCCCTGGTTCCCTGCCACCCCAGCCTGGGGTCTACATGCAGGGGCAAGAGCCCCTGACCACTTCCATGTAGACTTCAGGACTGACTCTTGTGGTGTGAGTTTCCCATATGCTTGCAGAAGAGGAACCAGGATCTGTGGACACCAGTATCCCCTCTTCACTGGGATTTTATTTGGTTTTTTCTTAACTGTACTACTCACAGAGGAATATGTGTTCCCATTCATCCAAATAAAGCATTCAAACCTGCATGAAAAGATCAAAGGAATGCTGCTGGAGATTGTTAACTCCAAGCTGTTGCAATACTGGAGTCCCCTGGAGTGGAGAGATTCCAAAGTGAGCTGCTTCTCAGATACTGTGGCTTCAGGTCTTAGTTCAGAAGGTGGGGAAGGAGACCCCGGATATTCAGGTGCAGCAGAGAGAAAGGTTATCTTTGTGCCTTACCTGTCATGTGGAGTTAGTAAGGAGAAACAAGAGGACATATTATGAATTATAATGGATAAAAACCAATTTCCCATTGTATTTTTTTTCTAATGCCAATCATTTCTACAATTCTCTGACACTGACTGGGTGTCCAACAATTCAGTTCAACTCAATTTTGAGCTAAAGCAGAACCCACAAATTTAGGGCTCAGTCTCATAAGACTGCTCTCACTTCAGATACCAGCCACAATGGGGTCCACATGTGTAGTTGTCTGCTCAGAGTTCCCATGCTCTCCAAGCATGGCCAGCATGCCATCCTCCAAGTACATTGATGTATTCACCAACCTGGAAACTCCCCAAGCCCCATTGGGTTTTTATATGGGGTTTCATTACCTAGGCATAATTAATTAAGTCATTGGCCACTGGTGATAGAACTAAATTTTCAACCCATCTCTCCTCCCCAGGAGTCAGAGGATGGAGCTGAAACTTCCAACTCTCTAATCATGATATTGATTCCTCTGGTGTCAAGCCCCCATTTGAAGCTATCTAGAGACCCTACCATGAGTCATCTTAGCATAAATTCAGGTGTGGTCAAAATGGGCTCACTATGAAAAAAAAAAAAACCCTCTCATATCACTCAGGAAATTCCAAGGGTTTTAGGAACTCTGTGCTGGAAACTGGGGACAAAGACAAATATATATATTTTTTATTATAATACACTCACATGAAGAATACCTGAATAAATTCTCCTTCTTGGTCTGGAATTGTATTAGGCACACACAGAGTTATCTTGATCAGATTTCCAAGCCTCATTCCTGTGAACATCATCTTCCTGATCTGAGTTTGGTTTAGAAGACTGTGCACAGTTACTACTTAACTCTGGAAATACAACAAATACAACAGATACAGACCTTGGTGTCAAAGTCCTCCATCTAGYGGGAGAGAGACACATGCTTGACTATAGTCACAGGGTGAATTCCAATTGATTTCTGAACTTGGGGGCCATGAACCCTGTCTATATGAACAAAGGAAGGTGAGCACATGGTAAGAAGGTGAAGATGTAGTGTGGAGGTTGGGGTGGGCACAGTCCCCTTGTCAAGAGCCTAGTTATAAGCAGCAACGATTTAATCAGGRAGATCTAGAGAGGTCAGCTTTATTTTTAAGCAAGATCACCCTGTAAATAAGCTGGAGGGGCTAATGGAGGAAGAGAGCCACAACCAACTCTTTCCTAGACCACTTCTGGTCTTCAGGATTTCACTCTATCCATTCCAGATGTCGTGGTCAGAGCACTATTCTAAAACATAAATGTGAGCGTGTAATTTCCTGTTATAACTTCAGTAGCTTCTCAGAGCCCCAAATCTTCCACAAGGCTTGCAGAATCTTGCACAGTGTGGCCCACTGCCCACCTTTCCTTGCCTGATTTAACATACACCACCCCCCAACCCCCCAACCCCCATGCTCTGGCCTTTCAGTTCCTTGAGAATACAAAAGTTGTTTCCTCTCCTGGATATTTTTCACCTGATTCCTTCACTCAGACTCCTTTTCCTTCAGGTTTCAGCTTAAATATCATTTCATGAAGGACTTAAGCCCCTGCCCCATCTAAACCATCTAAAATAAATGTCCCCACTTTTTTTTTTTACCATTTATGTAAATCTGTGGTTTATGTATTAGATTTAGTTCAAGAGTCAACAAACTTTTTTCCTAAAGGGCCAGATAGTAAACATTGTCTGCTTTTCTAGCTATAGCTCTCCTGCCCTTGTAGCTTGAAAGCAGTCACAGATAATAATATTGAAAGGAATGAGTGGGGCTGTGTTCCAATAAAACTTTATGTGTGGACACTTAAATTTTAATAGAATTTAAACTATATAATATGTGAATAAAATACATGAAATTTTCACGTGTCACAAAATATTCTTGTTTTGATTTTCCCCTCAACTATTTCAAAATGTAAAAAACATTATTAGCTCCTGGGTTTTCCAAAACGGGGTGGCGGGATGGTCCACGGACCATACTTATTTGTAGTCCTTTGCGGATAATATCCCACCTGATTTTTTTCCCACAACAGCGACGCACTTGGAGCACCAGTAACCGGTCAGCTCATCCACTACGGTGCGCCCAACGTAACGCCGGAGGGAACTAGGAGGCCGACGCCGCCGGACCAGCACTCGTGTGGGCGGGGTCTGCAAGAGCCTTGCAGCGAGGTAGGGCGGGCCGAGACGGGGCGGGGCCAGAGGGGGCGGGCCGAGCGTCTATTTCCGGCGGAAAAGAGCTGGAGCAAGATGGCCGCTACCAAACGCGTGCTGTACGTGGGTGAGCAGGCGCGGGCGCTAGGCGGAGCTTGGGCTAACCAGCCTCGAGTGGGTCCCAGAGTGGGGAGGGACACGTCTCCAGATGGGGAAAGCGGGAGTAGCTGTCGGGCCGGATCTGTGGCGGTATTGCTTTGCCTTGGGCCGTGAGCCCAAGATGTAACAATCACTCCGGCTTCCTTCCTGGTGTGCTAAACTCCTCCAAGAGTCCGGGATAGCAGAAGAGAAATACGGTCTTTCAAATCCTCGCGCGTGTCAATTTTGCATTCACTGCAGAGATGGCTCAACCTCAATCACAAAGGAGTTCCCAGACTAACCAGAAAAAAAAAAAGTGGGAATAACCTCAGTACCATAGATTAGCGCTGTGGTGGGGATGGGCAGTAATGACAGGGCCTCGGCTGCGTGAAGAAATGATCCATTCATCTGGGGGGAGAGGAGGGCATACTTTCCGCATGCGATGACTCCGGAGCTGATGAGCAGGAGTTAGCTGAGTAGCCAAAGTAGAGGCAAAGTTACTTATTACAAGGGAGGTGCAAAAATTGAAGCTCAAAGATGTTAAATAACCCGACCCTTGGAGGCAAGTGGGTTATTTTTCGGGACCCAGGGAATTGGAAAGCAGAGTTATTCAGCTAACTTCTGCTCATCAACTCCGGAGTTACTGCATCCGGAAAGTTTGCCCTCACCTCTCCAGAAACAAGCTGGAGAGGTGGACAGGTTATGAAGAACCTTGTATAAACTGCTAAGAAGTTTGCACTTTAATCTGAGGATGGTGGGAGACCTTTGAAGGACTTTAAGCAGAGAAGTGATGGGCTCAAATTTTCACTTTCCCAAGATCTTTCAAGTTGGCATGGTGGAGTTGATAGAAGATATAGAGGCAGGGAAATCAGTTATGAGGCTTTTGCAGGAATCCTGGCGTTAGATGAGGGTCTAAAAGAAGGATGAAGAGAAGAATGTACTTTATTAGTGTGGGTGGGCAGTAGATGAGAGAGGGGTGTTTGTCTAACCAAACAACTGGATGGAAAGACTCCTGCCCTTGCCTAACATGCTAATTTGCCCCACAGTCTTCTGCAAGATATTGAGGACAGCAGCTCAAAAAGCCCTTGGTTTATTTGCAGGTGGACTGGCAGAGGAGGTGGACGACAAAGTTCTTCATGCTGCTTTTATTCCTTTTGGAGACATCACAGATATTCAGATTCCTCTGGATTATGAAACAGGTGAGTCCTTTTGGTTTCTTTTATGTTCAGAATCCTATTGGAAAAAGAACTTTAAAAAAATGTGAAGTCACATCACAACTCTAAATATGTGTTTTCAGGCCAGAAGTGTGACTCCCCGGTAGAGTACTTGTAGGTTGTCAATATGTTGCAGTCTCCATCTGTTGGTTTTGAGATAATACAAATTTTTCAGTAGACCAATAGGAATGAACTACATTGATATCTGAGTGTTGTTTCAAATTACCTGCCAGGTTCCTCATCACACCTGCTCCCTTCTTGGCAGCTGTGCTATTAAATGAAACAGCAGGAAAACCTGGCCGTCAAACGGGACTCTAGCTTCTCTATACCTGGATGGGTTTTCCTTTAATTGGTATACAGTTACTGTTCAGTTTTCTAATGTATCTTGGTTGTAATTATTTTTTTTCCTCTTGTGTTGTTGAGAATCAAGCCCGGGCCCTTATTCAAGCTAGGAAAGCACCCTACCACAGAGCTACATCCCCACCCCGCCTCCTTTTTTTTCCCCCACCGTGTGCGGATCAAATGTAGGGTCTTATGCATGTTAGGCAAAGGCTCTCCTGCTGTGTTTATCTCTCAGCCTTGTTGTAATTTTTAGGCCTAGCTCTATCATTAATCTTGCATCTGATTGTTAGCAAGGACTTTACACTCTCTGAGCCTTCCTTTGCAAATACTATAAGGTTATATTGATTTTCTGAAGGCCCTCTGGTCTCTGAGTTCTATAATTAATACTGTTTTATTATAGATCAGCATTTGCCTGAGGATAAAGACTCAACATCCTTATCAGATTTTAGGATTCATGCTTTTGGAAGGAATAGTTTATTCCCAAATTGTATATTTGGGTGCACAGTTAATAGTTTAACTGACCATTTTTCTAGTTGCCTTGCACACAAAGGTTGAAGTTTTTAAGTTTAGCTTTGGTAGAAGAATTGAATGCTCATTTTAGCTTTTCCTCTAAAAATTTATTATTGCTTAAAATGTTGTTTAAGAGGAATTAAAGAATAAGATTTCTTCTTTCTAAATAATGATTGGGTAGAATTTCCAGTGTCTGGAGATGGCATATAACTGACTTCATTTTCATTATGACCATTCTGTTTCTTCCCTTTGTGCATGGTACTTGTTTTTTCCCCCCTTTTTGCAGAAAAGCATCGAGGATTTGCTTTTGTTGAATTTGAATTGGCAGAGGTAAGAACATTCTGTGTTACCTTTGTTTTGTCTTTGGTTTGTGTTATTGTAACTAATAACAAAGGAAGCTGTTCTCCGTAGGATTAGGTTTCTGGGCTTTACACTGATACTTCCAGGGGACTAGAAGTACTGTTTGAAAGAAAGCTTCTCTCACTTAACCCATTTTGTCACATTGTCCCAGATGTGGAACACCTGTAAAAGCTTAAATATAGTATATAATATAATTATATAATAATGTAATTGTATTATAATATTAATGGGCTTAATAATTTATAAACCCTAGGTTAAAATTTCCAGAATATTTTAATGTACTGTTGAACTAGTCACATAATTAAAAATGTGGGACTTGGTGGGTTAATCAGAGTGTAGACTGTGAATACATCTCAGAGCTTCTGCCAGGCCGAGTCCCTCTTGCTCTGCAGATCTCTTCTACAGCTCTGTTCATTGAGCATTCTTGCCTGGCAGTGCTGGTGATTATTTCTTATGCTTTCAACTGTTTTTCATATTGTGGCTTCTCTAGCTCAAAAGGTGAATTCAGCTCAAAAGTCAGCCAAGAAGTGCTTTTTATTAGATACAGTTTAGATAAGAAGGGTAGACATGACTTTTTCCTGTGTTTTTTTTTTTTTTTTGATACTGAGAATGTGTTTAGACTCACAGCAAGCATTTAGGTGCAAGCCTAAACTTATACTTTGTCTCTTCTTGGCAGGATGCTGCAGCAGCTATTGACAACATGGTAAGACTGAAAATTCTCATTCTAACTTAACGATGCTTTTTGGTGGTATAAAGAGTCCTTGTTCACATATTGGTTTTTTAAACCTTAAGGTTGTGTGGGGAGGTAAAAATGGTCATCATGTGAAAATATTCACTGTGAATTGATCACTTGCAAAAATTAGTCCTTATTCAGATATCTTTCACCATTTACAATAATATAAGTTCATCTGTCTCTCACCAACTCCCTCATGCCTGGGATAATAATTGCAAATACAATGCAAATTGATTGCATAGTGAAACTGCATATTTTGTAAAAGAAGATTTCTTGAAGTGTCAGATCAGTTAACGACTGAGAAGAGAAATTCAGTCAGAATAATGACAGGGTATGCTATTGATTTAAATGATTTGAGTATCCTGGAAAAGTTCTTGGAAATGATGATGCTTTTCGGTATTTGTGCCCTCCTTGAAATCTTTATACGTAATTTTCATGTCAACTAGTAAGTGCAAAGGTATTATATACTGTTGATAGAATTTTGTTGGAAAAAAATACTTCATACTAGTCAGCTCCTGTTACATGTTTGTACTACAAGTCAGTGCATACTTAAGCCTGCATATTAACTGTTAGAAAGATATTTTTATTATTTCTACTTTCATCACAAAGACCAGTCAAAAGATTTTTTTTTTACTTTTTACCATAAAATTTTCACTACTACCTTAAGTAAATTTACATTAAGTGATCTGTTCCAGAGCCAGATATTTTGGGATAATGAAGTTCTTTATTTCCTGTTCTCTCTTACCCATTCACTAAACATATTTCTTAACTGTCAGAGAGAGATGATCCTCACCATTTCAAAGCTGATGTTGGCTTTTGAAGTTGAATTCAGGTTCCAGGAAACTGCATTTATTCTTGTAATTTCAGAGTCCCTTGAACCCAGAATTACTTTTGGCAATACAGGCCTTTGTTTGCTGGTATTCAAAGAAAGGAGGTGTGTGACAGCTCAGGATGAAACTCCCTGCCACTTCCTCCCATGATGACTGCTTTGTTAGATGACACAGCTTACTACTAGAAAGGGACCAGAACCATGAGCATGTGTCAGAAATAAAATAGGAAGCTGTTTGGCTCTCCTTTAATGTGACAGAATTTAAATAGCTGGATTTTCAATCTTTTCAGAATGAATCTGAGCTCTTTGGGCGGACAATTCGTGTCAATTTGGCAAAACCAATGAGAATTAAGGAGGGCTCTTCCAGACCAGGTGAGTGGGAACAACTCACAGGTTCCTTGTTATGATCTTCAGTTTGGCCTTAGTTCCATTTTTATCCTATTTACTTGGAAATAGGTGCTAAATACTGCTTCTTGACAGATAGGAGTAAAGGATGGTTCATGTTGGCGAGAGACAGGTACCACCTTTTTGGGGAAACAGTTCGAGCTTCACAGCAAAGCCAAAGTAATTGCTTCTGGCCTCTTAACCTTCTCAGTTTTCTCTGTACTCCATTCCTAGGATGCTCCATCAAGGACTAGAACCAGCAAAGGCATATCTTTGCCTGTATCATAGCTTTTTTTTTTTAATATATACTTTCAGATGTTGATGGACCCTTATTCTATTCATTTATTTATATGTGGTGCTCAGAACTGACCCCAGTGCCTCACGTGTGCTAGGTAAGCACTCTACCACTGAGCCACAACCCCAGCCCCAGCATAGATTTTTTTTTTTTTTTTTACTTAGTCCCACTAAGTGCTGGACCTCAGGGTATTCCTAGTGGTAAATTTCCTTGCCCTTAGGAGTTCTCAAGGAGACTCCTCTGATTAAGAGGGCCACTTAGAATATTCTACCTTCTGACCAAAGTAGCTACTTAACAATTGACTGATAGTTTGAATTTCTTAATATTGGTTTGCTTCTTTCCTTTCAGTTTGGTCAGATGATGACTGGTTGAAGAAATTTTCTGGGAAGACTCTTGAAGAGAATAAAGAGGAAGAAGGGTCAGAGCCTCCCAAAGCAGAAGCCCAGGAGGTGAGAACAAAGACTATGGTTCTGGAGATAGGGCTGGTGCTTTCTACAGGAGACTCTTGTATTTTTAAGTTTTTATGGCAATTTTCAGATATATATGTACAAAAGCAGAGAGTAGACATATTGAACTTAGTACTTTGTCAAAGGCAGCGTTTATTTTTCAGTTGAATCTTATCATCTGTTTCTAGTGCTGAGCTTCAGCTGTTTCTTCATGCAAGTCTGCTTCTGTGTAGGAAGCCTTAAAGTTGCCTAAAATGAATTTCCCCTTCTCAACCCTGTCTTCCTGTGTTCAGTCTTGGTTAATTTGCCTCATCCATCTACACATTGCCCAAACCAGAAATTTGGATGCAAAGCAGAAAGCAGCTGAAAGTGGTGTCCTCACAGTCAGTGAAATCCCACTAGGTTATCTAGACCCTCTTTTAATATAGAGCCAATACATCATCATAATTGGCCAATTCTGTGAAATTTTCCTTGAAGCACTCATCTTAGTCTAGCCTCTTGTCTCATTTGGATAATTACAGTAACTGGCTGCAGACTTGCCCTGCTCCAGTCTTTCATAAGGAGAGCTGGAATGATTTTTCTGAAACACTGATCCAATCATTAACTCTGTTGCTCAGAACTTTTCACTTTTCCCCATCACCTGTTTCATGGGACAAAGTGCAAAAGGGGCCTTCCAGGTTCTTGATCCCGCCTGTCTCTCCAATCTCATTTCCCACCTCTCCCAGTGTAGTCTCCTCCCTACCCCCACCATGGTCTTAATAAAGCCATTCTTTATATGTCCATGTATACCTTTACTTTTGCACAGGCTACTTCAGTGCCAATTGCCCTTACTTTTCTAGACATTAATTTCTGTGAGACTAGGGGCCTTGTAGTATGCATCTTATTAATAAAAATATGAGGTGGAAGGCTGGGGTTGTGGCTCAGTGGTATAGTGCTTGCCTAGCACATGTGAGGTGCTGGGTTTGAGCCTCAGCACCACATGAAAATAAATAAATATAATAAAGGTATTGTGTCCAACTACAACTAAAACAATAAAAAAATATATGAGGTAGAGTAATATGATTAGTGGTGTGAATTTGACAGGAAAGCTGATTTAGTTTTGCCTTTTAGCTCCCCACTAACCACTTTTGTGAACTGGGGCAAGTTATTCAATAAATGCTGCAGCTGCTGCTGCTGCTGCTGGACCCTTGCTATTACATTGGCAAATAGCAGTGGCAGTATCCTCAGCGCCCACATGATGCCATAGTGTATGTTTGTTCAATTGGATCAAAGCAAGGTAATAACATTTTATCTTTCCCCTTGGAACAAGTGTGGTGGTTGTATTAAATGTCTGCTGATCTTCTGCTTATTCTTACCTACTTGGAATACAAAGCAAGCCTCTGAGCACTTAGGCTGAGGCCTCAGTGAGAGGGCCCCCTGCTTGCTTCGTGTGGCCAACCTGTGACAATGTGGGTCAGGCATGGAGGAGATCTGGAGGTACATGAGTGGGTTTACTAACTGTATGTGCTTGAGCTGGAGGTGGAAAATGATGAGAGCTGTGTATTGTAAGATGAGCTGCAGGGCAGGGGGAGTAAGCTGGTGTGTCTGAGGGAAAGCAGAAGTGTGGATGGATCCCCAATTAGATGGTGAGGAAAAGTTCTGAGCAACAGAGTTACTGATTGGACCAGTGTTTCAGAAAGATCATTCTAGCTGTCCTTATGAAAGACTAGAGGAGGGCAAGCTCTGCTATTGCTGGATGTCCAGCTGAGTGCTATAGTCATGGCTACTGCCTTCCACAGCCCTGTCCCTCAATGGCATTCCCTGTCAGCACCTTCCACTGGCCTGCTCAAGGAGTTTGTGCCAAGTACATGTGCAGAAAAATACTTGTTCTTCTATTTGGAGATTACTGAGTTCTTTTTTTTTTTTTTTAATATTTTTTAGTTGTTGATGGATCTTTATTTTATTTATTTGTATGTATGTGGTGCTGAGAATTGAACCTAGTGCCTCCTGCATGCAAGGCAAGCGCGATACCACTGAGCCACAACCAGTGAGTTCTAACTAACAATTTCTTCTGCACCTAGGGGGAGCCCACTGCAAAAAAGGCCCGGTCAAATCCTCAAGTGTACATGGACATCAAGATTGGAAACAAACCAGCTGGCCGCATCCAGATGCTCTTGCGTTCTGATGTTGTGCCCATGACGGCAGGTGAGCAGGATCCTGCTGTGCTCAGGATGACAGGAAATTGGTGGCTGAGCACTGAGCTTTCCCAGGGTTCTCATTGCCTTAGTTCTTATGCCTTGATGTTTTTTCTGACCTGAATTGATTTGAGGCATGTCAGACCCTGGGAGTTTATAAGTGCTAGTTTACTATTTTTTAAATAATAGTTAAAAAAAAAAAAAAGTAATGTGTTCATGGTAAAAAAAATAAATAAATAAATTGAATCCACCAACACACATATATTCTAATAATAATATATCCAGTCTTGTGCTTTAGTAACAACTAGTGCTGTTTTTGAGTAACCTTTCTTATTTGTTAAATACTTTTCTTTATTCTTTTAAGTGTAAATTTTATTAGGTAGTTTAAAAAAAATCAGTTTCAGAAAGCTTGTTTCAAAATACAGAAGTTCTCTAGTGCTGTCTCTATGCCCTGCCCTGACACCAACAATATTTGTTGCTACTCAGAAGTAGCCAATTTCAACTCTTGTGAATCTCTTTTGGTTTTTACTTCCATCTTGGTAGATAACAGTTTTCTATTTCTACTTTCTAATTTTTTTCATTTTAGACATTATCTTTTGATATTTCTGCTTCAGAAGTTAAGGAATTAGCTTTTAAAATTTTCTTCTGGCCATGCATGGTGGCACATGCCTATAATCCCAGCTACTTGGGAGGCTGTGGCAGGAAGATTACAAATTTAAGGCTAGCCTTGGCCACTTAAATCCCTTTCTTAAATTAAAATTTATAAAAGGGCTGGAGATGTAATTCAGTTGTAGAGCTCTTTCCTAGCATGCAGAAAGCCCTGGATTCCATCCCCAGTACAATCAATTAATTAATATTATTTATATTAATATGTTTATATATATATATATATATATATATATATATATATATATATATATCCCTTTCCATGCCCCTATAAAATCCCTTTTCATTTTCCCTATAGCATTCCCACAATTTGAGTTAGATCATTGATTATTTAACAATATAAACATCATACGTTTTATACATATAGGACTTGTTTTGCCTGGAATTGGTAATTGCCTGTGTATTTATTCTTGACTCAAACTGGAGGCTCTGTAACCAGTTGTTTGTCATCTTGGTGAGGGAGAGAGAGACAGGGCTGAATGCTTCAGCCTTCACTATATAAGTTTTCACTGAAACTTCATTTGTCATGACCTCAGCAACCCTCCTAGGGCTTCCTAGTCCAGAGACCCTTTGCTTTATCTCACTAGAGAGCAGAACTTAAGCTGACTGCCAGGGCAGAGGAAGGATAGCCCCCAGGTACAGAGTTAAGGAGAGGGTCTTGGGGATAACTACTTTCTAAAACAGGATTCAACCAGACTTGCTATTTTTACAATTACCATCACACTTGTGTCTGGGCTTTTGGAGTGTTAATTGAGTTGTTTGGGGGCTTTTATCAGCTTGAGAGTCAGCTTCATCTACAGACTGCTGTATCAGTTATGACTCATCTATTTGTTTCCCAGGTTTCAGAATTTTTTGTTCTTTTGTCTTTCCTTTTTAAAATTGACTTTTTGGCCATTTTAACTATTTTTAAATGTGCCATTAGCCTTATTCCCACCAGCAATGTGGGTGGCTTCCAATTTCTCCACATCTTCTCCAGCAATTGTGAAGTGGTATCTCATTGTAGTTTTGATTTCTATTTCCCTAATGACTAATGATATTGAGTATCTTTTCGTAAACTTATTGGCCATTTGTGTATCTTCTTTGTCTGTTCAACCCTTTGGTCCATTTATTAACTGGATTGTTTGTCTTTTTGTTGTTGAATTATAGATGTTATTCATCTGGATATTAAACTCTTACCAAATGATTACAAATATTTTCTCTCATTCTATGGGTTGCCTTTTACTCTGTTGGTGGTATTTTTTGATACACATAAATTTTTTATTTTGATGAAATCAAGTTTATCTATTTTTCTTTTGTTACCTACATAGTTGGTGTCATGTAAGAAACTATTGCCACATCCAAAGTCATGAGTTTTCTAAGATCTTTTGGGTTTCCTGTTCAAAGATCACATTGCTCCTAGTCTGGGAGGTAGCAGAGCTAAGTGCATGTATTCAATTCTCCTCCTCTAAGAGCATGCTCTGTAGTCCTTTAAGAGTCAGTATCACAAAGGTTTATAATGAGTGTCTCTTACTTTGTTTTTGTTTTTGTTGTACTGGGGGTTGAAACCAGGGCCATTTGTGTGCTTAGGTAAGCGAAACAGAAGCACTCTGCCACTGAGCTGCCAGCAGACAAGGTCTTGCTAAGGTACCCAGGGTGACTTCAGACTTTTGATCCTCCTGTGTCAGTTTCCTGAGTAGCTGAGATTACAGGGCTGAACCACCTAGCTGAGACAGCTTCTTAGTTTAAAGTGAAAATACAATCAATCCTCCTTATCCACAGACACCATATCTGTGGATTCAACCAACTACAGATCAGAATTATTTGGGGGGTGGGAAAAATTGCATCTTTGCTGAACATGTTCATACTTGATCATATTATTATTCTCTAGACAATAGAATATAACAACTATTTACATAGCGTTTACATTGTATTAAACATTATAAGTAATATAGAAATGATTTAAAGTATAAAGGAGATTATGCATAGGTTATAAGGGGTTTAAACATCCCCAGATTTTGATATCTGCAAAGGTTCCTGGAAGCAATCCCATGTGGATACCAAGTTTACAACTGTGTAAACATTAAACAAATAAAATCCTATTTTTCAGAGGCTTTGTTTTTTTTTGCTTTATTTTGTTGTGTTTCCACCTCAGCACTTATTCTTTTCTCAACCTCAGAGAATTTCCGTTGCCTGTGTACCCATGAAAAGGGCTTTGGCTTCAAGGGAAGCAGCTTCCACCGCATCATCCCCCAGTTCATGTGCCAGGGTGGTGATTTCACAAACCACAACGGCACTGGGGGAAAGTCCATCTATGGGAAGAAGTTTGATGATGAGAACTTTATCCTCAAACACACAGGACCAGGTAGGAGCTGATTGGGGTATGGTGACATATGGAGGCTGGGCCAGCACAGAATGGTTGTGTGGGCTGGAAGAATAGGCTGTGGTTCCGGCCATGGGGCAGGGATTCTGAGATACTCAGCTTCTGGGCAGAAAGAAAACGTTCAGACCCACTGGGGTGTCTTTGCTTGCTTACGTTCATGAGATGTTCATCCTGCTACCATGCCCACACTCAAATTAGCCTACCTTAGATTCTATAATCTGCCATTGTAAGCTCTTTTTTTTTTAATTGTTGTTCTAATTAGTTTTATGTGACAGTAGATGGTATTTTGATACATCATACATAAATGGAGTATAATTTCTCATTCTTTTAGTTGTACATGATGTAGAATCACACCAGTAGTGTAGTCATATATGTACATAGGGTAATAATGTCTGGTTCATTCTACTATCCTTCCTACCCTTATGCCCCCTCCCCTGCCTTCACTCCCCTCTACCTAATCCAAACCATTGTAAGCTCTTTATGGCCCCAATCTCTACCTACCTTCCCAACCCCTTTCAGACTTTTCTAGTAAAATCTCATTGGTTGGTCCCCCTGCAACTAGAGGAAACACAGAATTATACTGAATGATCCCACTTGAAATTTATGACTACAGTTCTAACCAGATCTCCCTAGTTGGTTTCTTGGTCCCCATCAGAGATGACAATTCCATGCCCGTCTTCACTCCTAAGGCTTCYATATCACCCTCCCACCTCATCTGCTGCAGTGAATGTTCTGATTACCCTTCTATTACAGGGGCCAGCCCTGCCACTTGTGGGCTGGAGCCCATCCCTCTTCCCTACTTAGGAGGTTGGCTTCTTCCAGTGTCCACCTCTACCATGTATAATACATTTCCTCTGCTCTTCCAGCTCAGTCCATCAGCTTAAGCATGTAGTATCAATCTTTTTTTTTTTTTTTTTTTTTTTAAAAAAAAAATCCTTGGACTCTTTCCCTGCCAGCCATTAACTCATGTCTCTGGTCTATGTTAGCAAAACTTCTGGAAAAAATAGACTCTTAAAAATGTAGACTCACAGGCTTCATTCTTTTCTAGCCTTTCTAGCCAGAATTCTAGCCCCATCTTGCCACTGAAACCACTCTTACTAAAGATGCTAACCACTTGTATCTTGCCAGTAGCCAGTTCTCAGCTCTCAATTGATTTCACCTCCTAGCAGCATATCATACCGTTATCCCTCTGCTCCTTGAATCTTCCTTCCTTCCTTCACTTTGCTGACAGAATTCCTCTCTTGGTTTCCTTTTTACCTAATTGATTTTTTCTGTCTTTGCCATCTCCTTTTTCTCCTGACCCCTAAATATTAAAGTGGCTCAGAGCTCACTCTTTGCTTTTCCATTGAAACTTGTCCCCCCAGGCCTCTTTTTTCTAACTGATAATTTATAGTACACCACTTCACTGCTGGAATGAAATGTATAGATGATGTATGCTGCCTGTGTACAGAGTTATTTTAAAAATCAATACTATTTCTTAACAGGAAAGAATGTGAAAAGAAAGTGAGTTGTAATAAAAGAATATATGTTTCTTGGTGGAAATGTGCAAATACAACTATGCCAGATGTGTGCACCTGTACCCAAGTACAGCAGTTAGAAATGCAGACAGGTGTGTCTACTGGCAACTTGGATATCACAAACAGTATTACTGTTGGCGACGTGATTTTGTGAACTGATAGGAAAGTTGGCTAGATTCCAAATTGAAGAGTAATATTTTGTTGATTTACATAGTAGTTGCATTTCTGAAAGATTCCATGAAAAAACCAAAATGCCTCCAAAACTTTCGGCTTATATGTATAATTGAATTATACAGGTGCATGTAAGCATTTTTCACCTGATATTTGTCAGGACATTTGAAAGACCAAGAGGATATGGGACAATACTTCATTGTTTGGGATAGTTGCAGAATTCCAGGCCCCCACTTACTAAATGCCCATGATATTTCTGACAATCAAAAATATACTCAAGGGGCTGGGGAGGTGGCTCAAGCAGTAGCATGCTCGCCTGGCATGCGTGCGGCCAGGGTTCGATCCTCCAGCACCACATACAAACGAAGATGTTATGTCCGCCAATAACTAAAAAATAAATAAATATTTTAAAAAAAATATATATATACTCAAATGTTCAAATAGCCCCTGGGGATAGGGCCAACCTCAATGAGAGCTACCGCCCTGGGCAATTTCATCCAGTGCCAGAGCTTGCACAGAATACTCGTGAGTTGAGTTTGTCCACATTTGCATCTTGGGACTGATTGCTCCCTGACATCCAGGCTCCTGTCCAGCTGCCTGCCTGGATATCCCACAGGCCCTCAACCTCACAGGCCCAAAACAGCTTCTGCTCTTCTCCCCGACACTTTTCCTTGTCTTCATTGTCCTTGTTTCAGTAAATGATTCCACTATCCATTTGGCTGCCTGATCAGAAACTTAGGACTCATCTGGCTCCTCTCCTGTGTCACTCATAAACCCCAGCCATCTGTCTTTAAGTCATCTGTGTGTGGATACACACGTTCTACATGGCTGCTTTAAGCTGTCATTTTCCACACAAATAGCCCGTTACTGGGCTTCACTGTATCATAGTTGTCGTACCACTGTGTCTTTCAAATTACCCTTTTCCACTGGCTATGAGCTTCTACCAGGGCTAGAAGTGTTTTGCTCATCAGTGTTCCCAGGACTTAACAGAGATTGCTTATAAGTAGACATTTAATAAGTAATTGTTAAAAACAAAACAAGAATGGCAGACCAGTAGGAAATGTTTGAAACAGCCCTTCTTATCCTATTTCACTAGCGAGTGAGTGAAAGACAAGAGGACCACATGCATGGGATCTGTGTGTCCCAGAGCCTGGGCCACCTGCAGAAAGCTGTCCACAGTGTGCATGGACAGTTTTAGGGGCTGGGGCAAGGTAGAGGAAGTTGACGTCCTTCTCTCCTCCAGGCCTACTCTCCATGGCCAACTCTGGCCCAAACACCAACGGCTCCCAGTTCTTCCTGACCTGTGACAAGACAGATTGGCTGGATGGCAAGCACGTAGTGTTCGGGGAGATTACTGAAGGTCTGGATGTCTTGCGGCAAATTGAGGTAGGTGGCCAGGAAGGGCCCCCAAACCCCCTGGCCCTTGGGGTATAACCTGTGGAGGGCCAGGAAGGAGTAAGCTCAGGTACCAAGGGGTGGCACCCTAAGTCCCTCTTCAGTCTCCTCCCTCACCCCCTGACTAGTCCTCCTTTCTTGTTTTGTCCACAAAGGCCCAGGGCAGCAAGGATGGGAAGCCAAAGCAGAAGGTGATCATCGCCGACTGTGGGGAGTACATGTGAGGCAGTGCTCTCCCCTCCCTGCTGTGCTTTGCCTGTGTGTCCAGGAAGGAGCTGCTGGCCTCAGGGGTGCCAGCACTGAGGGTGTCCTGCATGAAGCAGATGGTGTTTGGGACCCCAGCCATTCCTTGGAGCAGCTCCCTCATGGCCTGGTTGGGTGGCCTCTCGACTGGTTCCCAGCATGGCTGTGGTCCTTGGAGCAAGCAGGTGCAGGTGTGACCCTCCCCACCATCCACAGCTGCGTGGCCACTGGCTTCTCAGGCTTGTGCTGCCCAGGGGCTGTCCTGGGCCCACCTGTGGCTGCTGGATGGTTTCTTTGCTAAAATAAACTGATTCTTATACTGCTGCCTCCAGTGAGTTCCTGGGAATTGTCAGAGATTGTGACAGTAACTAAGCTGTCTTCCTGGGGCAGGCAAGTGGATAGGGCATAGTGCCTTCCCTACAGCTTATGTTTTTTCCCTTGAGCCAATTCCCTTAGATGCCAGGTTGATGTATCTTCATGCCAGATGTCCCTGTCAGACCATGTCAGGACAATGGAAGTCAAAGGTAAGCAAAAGTTCTCCTGTCTTCTGCTGTTTGTGCTTCTAAACTCATGCTGGCAGTCTGGTAGCCAGCAAGTGTGCCACATAGCCTCAGTGGCTTATTTATTTATCACTTGTCATTTTCATTTTATACATTTTTTAAATGGTATTTTTAGACTCACAGTGCCTTCTCTGTACTGGGTACTGTGCTTCTTTGTTAGAAGATAGGAAATCAGCAAACTACATGGGCCTAATCCAGCCTACTGCCTATTTTTGTGAATAAAGTTTTGTTGAAACACGGCCACATCCATTTGTTTGTACATTGTCTGTGGCTGCTTTCTCAGTATAGCAGCAACAGATTTGAGAAGTCAGTGACAGTATATGGTCCCTGTATTTGTCAGAACTTTCCAGAGAAACAGAACCAAGTGTGTGTGTGTGTGTGTGTGTGTGTGTGTGTGTGTGTAGAATGCGAGAGAAAGATTTATCTTAAGGAACTGGCTTAGGGAATTGTGGGTATTGAGAAAACTGAAATCTGTAGGGCAGGCCAGCAGGCTGGAAAACCAGAAAGAAACATGTTTCAATTCAAGTCCAAAGGCAGTCTGGAGACAGAATTCTTCTGGTGACCTCAGTCTTTTTCTTAAGGCTTTCAGCTGACTGGATGAGGCACACCTTCTTATAAATGGTAATTAGTGTTGCTCACTCCACTGACTTAAATATTAATCCACCCCCAGATACCTTCACAGCACCATCTAGGCTGCTGTTGACCAAAAACTGGGTGCTGTGGCCTAGCCAAGTTGACCCTGCTAAGTTCTTTCTACACAGACGGCACCAGCATTAGGGCAGGCATTCAAAGCTGGGGACCATAGCCTGATTTCAGGGCTTGCACAAGAACCCAGAGAGGCTGTGGTGCATGAAGAGCTTAGCAGAGCCCGCACAAAGGAGAACGGAGATCAGGACTGTGATCCCAGGATCAGGGATGTGGCTAATGGAGTTTCCTGTCAGACAGTAAGAGCCACCTCCAGACTTTGCTGCATCTATCAGTCATGGGAGCCTTACAGTAACCTCCGTGGAAGGAACTGGGAACAGATATTTTAGTGGTAGAAATGGAGCCTCAATTCAGGTGACAGGAAACTAAAAAGCCATGTTTTCAAGAACTATCACAAGGAAATTTTCCCTTCCTGATAAAGTGGGAAAAGCACATCACAAAGCAATTTATGTATACCACAGTATGATCCCAGTTTGGCAAAATTATCAATAATATGTAAGCCTAGATAATTATGTTTTAAGAAAAAGGCCTAGAAATACAGTGACCAAAATACTAATGGTGTATTTATCTTAGTCATAGAACTAGGGTCATTCAATTCATATTTTGGTTTTTGTTTTGTCACATTCTTCCAAAACTACATTATGGGTTTTTTTAATAATGAAAATTTTGTAAGTGGTAAATTGCTCACATAAAGACTCATGTTACTGGTTGAACCCCCAAAAGGATAATTCACCCATTCAAATTGCCATACATGGCACCAGGTGGATGCAGATGTCCCTCAGCCCTTTGTGGGTTCCTTATGTCTCTGGGAACAAAAGAGCAAAGTTTCAAAACCAGGCCATGGCCAGCCTCACCAAATACTTACCAGCCCTTTAAAGGTGGAGAGTACAGATGCTGCCCTCCAAGGAATGTGTCATGTATAGACTCATTAGGAAAAAGCACAGGTCTAAAATAAATAGATCATCACTTGAAGAACATATTTTGGTTTAATGGACAGGCACAGAAGTAGCTCCCAATGAGCAAATTTATTTGTAATAATAACAGGCACTGATTTTTAAGCATTTATATGCCACATGTTCCAAATGTTTGTACATATCTTTATCTTAGCCTTGGGAGGAAAGAACCAGCATCCTGTTCTACAGAGGACGAAGCAGAAACCAGATTCAAACCCATTTGGCTCCAAATATTCTGTACTCTTGCTTCTTTGCCTCTTTTCCTATTTCTTGGGAAATTTTTAAAAACATGTTATTTTCTTACCTCAGAAGACAATGAACACTTAATCCACTGATGATGTGGCCATCAGGCCAGTATCGTGGGGCAAATCTGAAGACTGCTAGGCATTATTATTTTTGTGCCTTCCTTTCATGTCAACTGTTATTGTTTCTCATTGCTGTCAGTCGCTCTGAACTGACCATCTTATTGAACCTCCTAGTCTGCTGAAACTAGATAAACAGGCCCTGCCCTGAGCAAAGAGGGGAAATGATGGTATCCATACTGTCAGCCAGGCCACCCATTTCAGCTGCCATGCTTGCTCAGCAAATGGATGTCTCCTGGAACAAAAATGTATAGGCTGTGTCCATTCACAGTTGTTTTGCTGCATTTCCATTTGATTTCACTTGATGACCATTCAGTGGCAAAATATGCTGGAAATCTGATGGCCAGGTAGGGTAGGCGATTCAGTTGTTCGGTATAAAAAAGGAGGATGGCAACTGCTGTCTATTCCTATTCTACACAGCTTGATTGATAGGTAAAGTATGCTCCATGCCTACAAACCTTTGGGTAAATTTGACAGATCTTCCTGGTATCTAGCTATGGCAGACCATTGATTGGGCACTGAAGATACCAGGATAAAATTTTTTTAAAATTGATCATCAAAACAACTGATGGATTTAAAGTTTTTAACTGCCTAAAAGACAATACTTGATGTTGAAAAGAAAAAACTGTTGGAGAAGTACTAGAATGGCAAATAGGTCCTATGTTATATGCCAGCTCTTGATTCATGACAGCCATCTGAACTCCCATCAGGATCAAGAGGCTGCACCTGGGCTTAGTGTGAGACAGGCTTGATAGATAGATTACCCGGATGAAGGCCCTTTGGAGATCAAAAAGTCCAATTCCTTTACACCACAGAGAGAAACAGGCCCAGATAAAGCAGTATTCACAAGTCTAATCTCCTTATGTCCAGGCTGGAACTGAGACTTCAACACTGATGGGGAACTCACTACCTTCCAGACGGTCTGACCCGCCTTTACAAGGGAGGGTGTCTTCTCTACACTCACACAAGAGTACCCTCCTCAGTCCATCTGGAGAGGCTACTGTTGTGTAGCACAGCCCCAGGCTTACCAGCCTCACCACTCTGCCAGACCTGCCCTTTCCATGGCCAGTCCTCAGGGGTGAAGAGCGTGAAACTCCAGAAATGTGCATCCCTGGGTCCACCTCGGCTGGGTGTGTCTGTGGATGGGGGCGGGACCAGGATATGCTTTTAATGACAGTTCAGACAGCTGGACTCTGTCTGTTCCAGCAGGTAAATTACAGGCTTGGCAAGTTCAAAATCAAATAAACATTCCAACTCCCAGTGGCTGCTCCAAGGAGAACAGTGACTTCCGGGAACAGTGGAGGCTGAGACAAACCTCCCTACCCAACACAGCCTAATTACCAGATGTGGCCATCAGGCCAGTATYGTGGGGCAAATCTTTATCTTGAGTTGACCCCACATGTCCATTTTGACCAGTGGTTTGGGTAATTCAGATCCATAAATGTACATGCTGAGGGCAGCTCCCTGCTTTTAACTGTCCCCCTGGGACAGGAGCCTTTTCTTTGACTCACAGGCCCCAGAAACAGGACAGGGCTGCTGGGTACCCAGGGTGATGCAGACTTTGGTGACCGGTCTGTTTTTAGTACTGTTGGACACAAGCAAGTGCTGATAAGGCTCCCCAGTGCTGCACGTACATAGCATGGCACAAGATGGCAACCAGGTCTCACTTCACTGCTAACTTTTTTGACAACACCTGGCACTGCTGTCCAGGCCATGCACACCGGCTCCTCAGCTCTCTGGGTCCCCTGCCCACCTCTGCCACATCTGCTGCTTCCATACGTGGGCAACATGTGCTGGGGCGCACCTCCAGCCTCTGCTTCCCCATGCTTTACACTTCCCAGGAGACCTGTGCTAATCCTTTGGAAATTCTTCCAGAATGAGAATAAAAAATATTAAGATTTATATTGACTATTGGTATATTGCCATGCGGAGGGGAAGGGAGATGATGATATCTATGCTGTGCACTGTCTTCATGGCCACCCAGGGCAACCACCATACTTGCTCAGCATAAAGAATTTTCAACAGACCTGAATTCTTAGTGGGTTACCATGGTGGAAGAGAGATGGATCAACTGGAAACCTCCCAAGATTTTCTTATTTCTCCAAAGCAAAATGTTCTTGTATTGATGTCTTCCCCCAAGAGAGGCAGACCCAAGGCAGGAAGATGGAAGAAGATACATGCCATTGTCTCTAACCCTGAATCCTGTTGTTCATTCAGCTCTATCTTGAGTTAACCCCACATGTCCATTTGACCAGTGGTTTGGGTAATTCAGATCCATAAATGTACAATGCTAAGGGCAGCTCCCTGCTTTTAACTGTTTCCCAGAGATGCCAGTTTTGTATCTGGGAGGAGCAGGCAAGAGGCAGGACCAGACTCTGTCTACACATTCCCAAACCCTATAATTGATAGTAAAGAGCACAAGGTGGCTGGTCTAGGACACCACGTGCCTCTCAGGTCATCCCAATTTGTCCACAATATGGGCCAGTAATGGGCATGGGTAGGTCTGCAGATAAGACCCCAAAGAGCTAATCAGTTCATGCCTTTGAAAGAGGGGGCTACAGGAAACTGATGCTTAAAAACCCAGACCACCAGGGCTGGAGGTAGGACCATTATACCAACCTCAGGCAGGGAAAGGGAAGCAGAGGGGCCTGGAGAGGACCAAAACATGGCATGAAGGAGGGATGTGAGGTTTGAAGGCCTCCCTGCCAATCTTGCCTTAGGTTTGGCTGGGTTTGGGGGTCTTCTGCATTTGGAGAGAGGCCAGATCCAGATGAGGAGGGACAGCAGCAGCAGCAGTACAAGTGGAGGACCTCAGTGGCAGCCGCAGGCCTTGACCACCATGTTGCGGTGCTTGCGCAGGATGACATTGTTGCTRCTGTCATAGTAGAGCACAGAGGTGGCGCTCAGCTTGGTGGGTGCACAGCATGCCTTGGGGACTGCGTCTGGCTTCATCAAATGCACCTGGCCAGGGAGGAGACACGGGGTGGGATTATGAGCTTAGCAGCCTCCTCCTAGAACCCACCCAAGCCACCCTCTGCTGCCTGCACTGGCCTGTCCTACAGGTCTCAGCCCCCAGCCCCATCCGAAACCACTCTCCACCTGCAGGCAGGCAGTTTCCACCAGGCACATCTGCCCTGCTCACYGCCCTGGACACACAGCTGGACACCTGGCA